ACGGAGTGGAAAATAATATTCTAAATTATATATCAAAAAATAGTTTTAAATAAACTTTTGCCAACTTGAAATAAATAAATAATTTTATGAGAAAATTTTTGAAGAAGATTCTTGTTCTTGTTTCTTTAAAATATCTTAAATTTCGAATTAAAACTGTAAAGAGTGAACTTATTAGTAATAGTACACTATCTTTAAAAAAAAAAAAAAATACAGCAGAAAAATATTTGTACGCTGAAATACGAAGGCTCGCTTGTAAGTTGTTGTCGAGTGTACCTAAGTGGCTTTTAAATCCAATGTCGTGATAGAGAGTGTCAGTGAGACTTGAAAGCAGAATCCTATTTAAGACATTTCCGGTGCACAAAAATTTCTTCGACCAAACAAGAACATCAAAAACTCTTTATAATTACGAATTCAGACAATGTTTTCAAAACTTATGAGTATAATACAAAATAATTTTATTATAAATATATTTTGTTATAACCAGAGAAAGAGAGAGGGAGAGAGAGAGAGAGAGAAAGACAAAAAAAAATTTCAATATATTTATGGTATTTATTTCAATATATTTGTGGTGAAAAGATCGTTTTTACGATTTATTAAAAATTTAAAACTATTATGAGAATAAATCCTGAATAAAATTTGTATACGAATAAAATTTGTATTTTTACACTGCTATTATTCGTCGTAATAAATGTAATTTAAATTGCGTTATGCACGTGGGTCGAATGTACAAAAGGCTATTAAACTAAATGTTCTATTCGAACCGGCATGCCGGTAGTAAACCCCTTTACCAAGTGTTGTATACACACGAGGCAGAAGTTCAGCGGTGCATATCAATTAATTAATTGCTCGCTGAATTGGTCCATTGACAGTATCGATACCGCGTATGTTAGCGCTCAATTAGTGATTGGATTCGCAGGTTTCTAGCAAATGTTGACATAAATGTCGAACAATCAGAATCGACAAATACAATGGACAAATAGCGAAAAAAGTAAGCTGCGTCGAGTTTAATGTCGTGAATTAATATTTCGCTACTCGCTTCATTGCAAAAGTGTATTATTTGTCAGCAAAACTACTATTTGATCATCTTGATTATATCGAATTAAATTACAATTAGCGAAATTTATAAATTAAATCGAGAAAGTATATAATTCTAAAGATGAAATTTCACTTCATGGCAGAGATAGCACGTCTGCACGTCGAGAGACCTCTGACGTAGCGTAATTAATCATTTCGTGATTTAAAGATACAGAAGGAGATCCGCTACGTCGAGACGTATAGATTTTCCATTTACGCCCACATCGCAAAATGACGTTGGTTGTTCTAGTTTCGAAGTATCGATACACGTCGATAAAATTATGTCAAGTGACGGAGATTTTTTTCTCGAGTTTCGCGCGCGCGACGAACATCCATAAAATCATGTCGGGGCTTTCGGGAGAAATGACGAAACTTTTATGAGCGCCGCGAACTCTCTTCGTTTGAACTATCAGGAATGCAAATATCGTGCATGACTAAGCGCCTTCTCTGCATCCTCAAGGATATAAAAGATCTCGAGCGCCATTATTGATGTCGAACATGTTCTTAATCCAATTTAGTACATGGATCAAGATACACACACACACACACACACACACACACACACACACACACACACACACACACACACACACAACAAGCCGATACATTCCGTTTGAAATAACGAAGAAATGAGTATCTTGAAAATATGCCAAGAAAAACAATTTTCTCGAGACAGTATAATCTCCCCTTTCGTGTACACGAGGTCTACCAGGCGAGAAATTAACACGCCGATAATAATTGAGCGATCTTCCGTTACCGATAAAGTCTTCCTTGGCGGAAATTAACATCTTCCGATATCAACTTTCGATAAACGCTCGATACCAAGATTTAAAATTTCGATGGCAGCGTTACTCTTTCAAGGAGCATCGATCTAACTCGATGTGTTCTATTTATTTATTTTTCACAAAAAAAGGATTGATCATCCACGTGAAAAATCCACGTTTGCGATCCCGATGACGTCTCTCATTTCGAAACGTTTTTCCCCTTCGCGGATCGACGAGGCGAGCGCGCGCGCGCGCGCGCGCGTGATTAGATGCAGGACAAACGCTTCCGGTACGTCTTCCGCGCAACTTGTTGATATTCACGCCGTTAAACGTCGGGCTTATCGATAGCCACGGCCGATAGTTCGCCGACGATCGAATGGTTCTGACGTTATCACTTCCGCTCCGCCAGCCTTCGTGGACTGCGGCCACGCGCGCGCGCGCGCGCCACGCAAATGATAACTACGTTATAATATCGATAACAAAAATAACGGCAAGGCCGCCCGCTGCGAAACGGGAATCGGCGAGGCATGCAGGCTCGCGGAGAGAAAGAAAGATACGCTGGCGGCTAATTAGGCGGTTACACAGAATACAGTCGGATCGATGATGTTGCAAGTGTTTCCGGCGAGTCTGCGGTGTCTTTTAAACGGAAATACGGTGTTTCTCCCTTTTCCAATCGCTCGATGGAAAATTGTTTATATAATTGCATTTCACTGCGCGAAGAATATATTAAAATCCCCTTTTAATTTGCACAGTTAATTAAGTTCCGTTAATGAAATTTTGTTTTTACAGCAAACCGTATTTATGAGACTAATTATCGC